CCAAATTGAATATATTTCTGACACAAAAACAAAGATTTTAATGATTATAAACACCACACAAAAGATATACTATGCATAACATTTATTAATATTCATTAAACATTTATATACAATGAATAATTTCTTGTAAAAATTTTGTAAATACACAACACTTAATAATTGTAATAAAGTTATATATCTAAAACTAGTGCTGTTGGCTACATAGCACATACAGAAAGTTAACACATTAAAATTATGCATTAAACATAATGTTGTGTCTATGAAATCTAAAATTGATACAGTACAAACCAAATCATCATTTCGTTCAGTCTTTGCGTTTTCACATTTAGTCAACCTCTTCAACAGTTGGACCTTGTCCGGAGGCACCAGCATTTCCACTTTGACCTGCATGTAATTTTGACATGATAGGTGAACATAATTTTTGAAGTTCTTCAAGTTTGTATTGCAGCTCTTCTTTGGTAGCCAGTGAATTACTGTCTGCCCAGTTCATCACTTCTTTCACTTTACCAAGAACTGTGTCCTTATCTTGTGCATTCAATTTACCCTCCACATTTGGATTTTCCACAGCAGCTTTTACATTGAAGGCATAACTTTCCAAAGAGTTTCTGGCGCTGATTCTTTCTCGTTGTTCATCGTCTTCCGCTTTATATTTCTCTGCATCTGCTACCATTTTGTCAATATCTTCTTTACTTAAGCGACCTCTTTCATTTTTTATGGTGATCTGGTTACTCTTTCCTGTACTCTCATCTTTGGCAGTAACGTTCAAAATGCCATTTGCATCAATATCAAATGTCACTTCAACCTTGGGAACACCACGTGGAGCTGGTGGGATCCCAGATAACTCGAATAATCCCAGACGATTATTGTCTTTTGTCATTGCACGTTCTCCTTCAAAGACCTGAATGGTAACAGCTGGTTGGTTGTCTGCATATGTTGTAAATGTTTTTGACATTTTTGATGGGATGCGGGTGTTGCGATCAATCAGGTTAGTCATCACGCCACCAGCAGTTTCAATACCAAGGGATAACGGAGCAACATCAACCAATAGTACATCTTTCACTTCATCAGATTGGTCACCAGATAAGATTGCAGCTTGTACTGCAGCACCATATGCTACAGCTTCATCAGGATTGATAGATTTGTTCAGTGTTTTCCCATTGAAAAAGTTCTGCAGCAACTGTTGCACTTTTGGAATTCTTGTAGATCCACCAACTAATACGATCTCATCGATTTGATTTTTGGCAAGTTTGGCATCAAGCAATGCTTTCTCCACTGGTTGTAACGTTGCACGAAATAGATCAGAGCAAAGCTCTTCAAATCTAGCACGTGTGATACTAGTATAAAAGTCAATACCTTCAAACAGTGAATCTATCTCAATGGATGCTTGTGTACTGTTGGATAAGGTTCTTTTAGCTCTCTCTGCTGCAGTTCTCAGTCTTCTTAATGAACGTGCATTTCCTGTGATGTCTTTCTTGTGCTTTCTTTTAAATTCTTGAACCAGGTGGTTCACCAGTCTACTATCGAAATCTTCCCCACCAAGATGAGTATCACCAGCAGTTGATTTCACTTCAAATATGCCATCTTCAATAGTCAGGATAGAGACGTCAAATGTACCACCACCCAAGTCAAAAATTAGTACATTTTTCTCTCCCTGTGACTTCTTATCCAGTCCGTATGCCAAAGCAGCTGCTGTGGGTTCATTGATGATTCGTAGAACGTTGAGACCGGCAATAAAGCCAGCATCTTTGGTTGCTTGTCTCTGGGAGTCGTTGAAGTAAGCAGGTACAGTAATGACAGCATCTTTGACCGTTTGCCCCAGATACGCTTCGGCTGTCTCTCTCATCTTTGTCAGGACCATAGAGCTGATTTCTTCAGGTGTAAATGATTTGATTTCGCCTTTGAACTCGGCTCTCACTTTGGGTTTCCCACTGTCGTTGTAAACTTGGAAAGGCCATAGCTTCATGTCTGACTGCACAGATGTGTCGTCAAATCTCCGTCCGATAAGACGCTTGGCATCGAAGACCGAGTTTTTCGGATTCATGGCAACCTGTCCCTTGGCTGCATCGCCGATAAGTCTCTCAGTGTCAGTAAAGGCAACATAACTAGGTGTTGTTCTGTTACCTTGGTCGTTGGCGATGATTTCTACTTTGCCGTGTTGAAATACTCCAACACACGAGTAAGTTGTCCCCAGGTCGATACCAATAGCTTTTGCAGGCATCTCGTTGTAATGTTGATGTAGTAGGTCGGTAACAATATTTTCTTCGATGATTAGGTAGACTTGTTGTATATCTCTCGATGTTCGCTAGTAGTTGCTTGTCTGCTAGTTTAGAGTATGATATCTGATCGTTAGTGTAACGTGCGCTTGTATTTAAAGCCATTGTGAACTTTCTAGAACCGGCAAAAATAGCTGTTGCTAGAATGTTCTCGCAAGTTCGTGTGTTACGAACCCGGAAGAGACGATATTTTTATCTCGCGTGCCGAAAACTCGCGAGAGTTCTAGAAAATTCAATTTTCCGCTCCCTTTCGCGTAGAGGGCGCAGTTCAAATGAAAAGCCTGAAAATCAATACAATGGTCCGGTCTTCGCTCAGCGTTACAACGCTAGAAGTTCTCTACCTCGTACAAAAATGAATTTGTATAAATTTAATCTGCTCCGATTTTGATTTGCAAAATAAAACAAAACGAGTTGCCACTCAAAAACGGGGAAATCTAAAGCTTTGAAAGTATTCACCTGCGTGGTTATTACTGAATAAATTTGTAAGAGCATGGATTTTTTTTTATTTTGACTATATTAAGAGAAATCATGATACGATCCAGATTGACGCTTGATTTATTTATTCATACATACGCTGATAATTTAGATAACTGAAACTGCAGCCTGTCTTAACTTTTACACTTTTTGGCTAAAACAGCCAACCAATAAACAAAGCCAGATTTACACCTGATTATTGCGTCAGTCAGAATGGTTACTTGGCAGCCAATGAGATGAGCATTGCAGAATAATTAAGCATTTAATTACATATTAAACCATTGCAATAAATTCTAATGCAGAAAAAGCTAAGGGGGACGGTGTATTCTTGTTTGAAATATGTAAATCATTCTATTCAAAGAACTGTTTCACTCTATACTGTATTTCAAAGTACAAGTAAGCTTCATCCATAATTTTGTTTTTTTAGTGGGATACTGGACGAATCATTGCTCATGATACTAATTATGCGCATGTATAATATTGCTCATGACTCTTTGATTATGCGCATGTATAATGTTGTTTATGCAATCATTAATTTCATATGAAGTTTACAGTAAGTGGACAAATCTGATGCTGAAATTACTTCATTTTGCAATCATTCAAATCGAATTACATAGATTATTTATTTTTAATGACATTAACACACTGCAGTTCAAACTCGGGCTATTGTTTGATATTTCGTTCTCATCTGCATTTGTGTATATTTTGCAAATATAAATGAATTTCTGACAATGAACTTGTCAAAACTCTACATTAATTTGGGCATTCAATATCTTACATGACATGTTCAGTGTCGTAGCAATTAGAACAAAACAATGAACTTTATTCAGGGCAAAAAAAATGCTTTTTTTTATACACTAAATTATGTTGTTTATGGTAAGTACAGCTTATTAATTAAAAAATATACTGCATTGATTATTCAAAATTCATGCAGATTAGTGTCCCATTTCTGTGGGTTTGTAATTTATTTAGCAAAGAATCACAGCTTTGTTTTTTTGTATGTAAAAATGTATTCTAACTTTTGCCTGATTATTTTACATTTGTGAGCCCAAATTTGTTAAGTTTGTTGGATGAGAATTCTTAGAGAAAAAAAAAGGTCCATAGATAAGTTTATTTACCCAAACTGGCATTATTGCAAGATAATAGTGTTTGAACCAACAGTGGCTTACTGTATATAATATAAAAGACAGAGGTGTATGCACGGTAACGTGTAACTCTGCTTTGCGAGCTATCACTATTTCATATATTTTCATATCTTGAAAATGTTCTGGTTAAATATTTAATAACCAGTGGTAGATTTTTTTTTGGAATTTTTATATTGTATATGTGGCAAACAGAAAAG